AGGCATTTAATTAACATCTCTAAAAAGCAAATAACAGCTAGGCTTACTAGTCCACTCAGACTATGAAATTAGTTCCAGAAGAACAGAGTAAAGGTAACATATGTTCATTTACTATTGTAAAGCAAGAGCAAGTGACAGAATTTTATTTCTTTCAAGTCCAGCTAGGGCTATAGAATCAGAGCATGGCTGAGGTGTGAAAGGACCTCTGGGGATCACCTACTCCAACCCCTCTGCTTAGAGCAGGCTCAGCTAGAGCAGGTTGCCCATGTCCAGCCAGGTTTTGAATATCTCCAAAAATGGAGACTCCACAACCTTTCCAGGCACCCTGTTCCAGTGTTATTGTAGGTTTGTCACAAAATCCGAGCAAGCAACAAGGTTGCTTTACTTTGTTCCAGAGAACACCAGAGTAAAGTATGCAGACCAGAGTAAAGGTTGCACAGTCAGACTCAGCACTTCTTTCCTGAGTCTCCTGTTCACCAGGAGTGGAAATGATGTTGCAGTGACCTCTGGCAAAAGCCGACAGCATTTATCTAAGCATTGGTGGCAGAGGGGAGTCAGCGCTTCCACCTATTCTGTGTTTCCTTCTCACCTATCTCTGCTCATCTAAAAAGATGTCAAAGTAGCAATTATCCCTGTTCTTCCACATGATTAGTATCCCATCAAAGCAAATAAGATGTCTGTTTGCATGTATGAGAGTACAGGTCAAGTTCTGCTCTTACTTTCAAGAATAAATGAAAGACTTATATTGTAATATTTGTAAATATGTTGTGTTATAGTGTGTGATGTTTTCTAGATATTTATCTCTGGAACTACTACAGTGTGTTAATGTAAATACAAATACAAATATGTGACTACAGGTAGGCAAAATACAGCTACCCTATACTAGCTATAAATCCATATATATAGAAAGAGTGAATTTTCTTTTATATGAAATGTTCTATGTATAATATGAGCAATGATCTTTATCTTTGTAATTTAACTATAGATTTTCATCTTCACTTTTGTAGTGGGACAGGGACCCAGTGGGGAGGCAGGCACTGGTCAGTCATATCACTTTGTGTTTTATTCCCACCCAGGAAATAGAACTGTATTCATTCTCTTAATCATTATCCTGAAGTGCCATATCTACACGTTTTTTAAACACCTCCAGGGATGGTGACTCAACCACCTCCCTGGGCAGCCTATTCCAATGTCTGACCACTAATGTTGTCGTGTTGTCATCCTTTTTCTTGCTTTATCCAGAAGGAAGTACAAAGAAAAATCTTTTTCTCAAAAAATAAACCAAAACAAACAAAAAACACCTTTGAAACACCTCCATCCACCATAAATGCATGTTCATATACTGTTTCTGTTAAATGATGAGCACTTATTTTGAAATCAGCAGAGCACTTTTCATAAAATGCTCAGCACATGCCAAGGTAAAGACAGAATAATGAAGTTAAATAGAGTGAAAGCACTAGAGAAATGTGATCAGAGAGCGTATTGAGCCGTGCTACAATTACACTATAGTGCATATCACCATTTATAAACATAATTAAAAGAAAAAATATTCAATTTATATAACTTTAAATATGCAGCACCAGTTTCACACAAATATCTCATTTTGTTTGGATACAAAAACTGGTAGCGAAAATCTTTCAAATGCGACACTTCTATTAAAATAAGAACACCATGAAGTCACAACATTCATTTATTTCCTGGGAAAAACAAAGCTAAGTAGGAGCATGAAGCTTTTGAAAGCTCTAACTATTCTTTGATCAAATAGACAGAAAGAGCTGGTTATGGTCTACTAGCAGTGACCGTCAAGAACACAGAGAACTCAATATGCCACATCTCAGCACAATGGATTTGTGTTTTCCTGTTGTTTCAAAATTCATTCGATGTACACAGCAATAGGCTGTACCAGTCACATTAGAGGTTTCTTTTCCTATGAAATTAAATTGATTATCAAACTGCCCATTAGAAATGAAAAGCAAGTGGCTTTAGACACCATACTTTGTTGGCTGTCCTAAGAAAAACACAGGCTATAGTAAAACAGGAGATGACACTCAGCAGTAACACAAATCTCATGCACAAATAAATTTTTGTAATCCTGCTACAAATGAAGAAGTTCTACCCCCTTCGAAATCATGCTGAACTGTGAGATTTTATGCATTTAGCATACAACTGGTAGAAGAATATCTAAGCAGAAACAAATGTCGTATCAATTACATCAGTACACTATGCGCCTGTGGTTACGATCACCCTTCAGTCAGGGAGGTGGCATGGAATATCACACAGATGAATCCTTCAGGGAAATAAATCTTCTTCATAATTTTTAAATAAAGATAAACAGAGTAAACAAAAATAAACACATTTCAATGCCATTACTTGAAATTAAAAGCAACAGAGTTACTCCAATAAACAGCAATATGTCTGGCTTATTCCCCTTGCAAATACCCTCTGAAAGGCAGACAGGTGTCCTTCTTAACACAGGTCGTACTTCGTGAGGTGAAACCCACTAAGTTGAATCTGACAGCATATTAATTGGACTTGCACCCACTGCTTACTACCTTGGTTAAGAGGGATATACTGAATTAGGAGAGGTGAGATATTTGGTTTGATATGCATAAGGGTAGAATCTTGTGGAGAAACTGCTACTGAACAAAAGAAAAAATAGCTTGTCTCAAAAAAATGTCAGTTACTTTTTGATATTAGATATTATTATCATCTTGAAGAACGGGGCTCTACTCTAAAAAACAAGAAATGTTGTTTAAGTATAAGAAAAAATTTTACTGTGAAGATGGTCAAATATTGGAACTGATTACTCAGAGAGGATTTTGGAGGTTTTTCCCCCCTCATATATATTTAAAACCTGGCTGGACATGGTCCTAAGCAACTTGATCTGGCTGATCCTGATCTGAGCACAGAGTTGGATTATGTGCTATCGAGAGGTCCGTGGCACCTTCAGCAATGCTGTGTTCCTGTGATTGTTAGGACAGAAAAACACTACCTTAAACGGCTGTGAAAGCTAAGGTTTTCTTTTCATGCATCAGTTCAATTTTGACATACTACGTTATTAGTGACAGAACATAAGATGCATGCTGAAATCAACACACAGCACTACTGTCAACTCCCAGCATAGGACGTCTAGCTACCTACCTATGTATCAGTTCACCTCTGCAAACCAAGTCAGACACAGCAGCAGTGCTGTCCTGAGGAACAGGAATTTGGGATTAATAGGAAAAGGTAAAGGGTTGAAGACTGTCCTCTGCTTATGCCTCCCAAGTCATGACCCAAAAAAAGGAAATATTTGGGCATATAACACACCAAAAAAAAATGTGTGTTATAAAATAGAAAAAATATAATATATATTATATATAAAAAATAGTGTGGACTACCCTAATACAGGGAAGAGCTAATGTATCCGATGGGATATAAAGCTAACTGCAGATAAATATTTCTTTATTTTCTTTTTTCTTTTTCCTCTCTTTCAGTAAACCACTAGTTCAAAAACAGATACTTTTTCATTAGTGTCCAGAATGTTTCATTCCACTCTTTCATCTCCCCTTATTGCAATACTTAGAGTCAGCCAGAGAAATCATGACAGGCATTGATGAAATACAACAATCTAGGGAGGGAAAGGTTTCATATAAAATGTACACCTTACCTTTTTATGCTAAACTTTCATGCTCACCAAATGAAAATAGATGAATTTCCTTGTTCTTTAACAACACAGACCCAGAAGATTATCTAATAGAAATGTAGATAATTATCACTGCAAACCTTACAATATGTTTTGTCATCATGACAAAATTTTCCATTTGCCAGCACATATTTTGCTTCAGATTTTCTTTCAAATCACTAAAGAACTGCTTAAACTCCTATATTTATATTCTTGGAGACAGGGATTCCCTTTTCATGAAAATTACATGGGAAGAAAAGAGGTTTAGAAGAAGAAAAAACTGTCCACTACAGCCAACATTCATATGAACCAAAGGGTCTGGTGTATTACCTAAAGCAAAAAAAAGCTTCCAGTTGGAAGCTAAATTCAAAATGACCTTGTGCTTTTTCAAAAAGGCTGGCAGCTGAGGTCATTGGAATAAATTGTGATAGACAGTGCTTCTCTCTGTATAGTTAGAAGGCATGTCCAGTACGTGAATTACCACCAAGCAGGGAAAAAAACACCGACAAACAAAACACAACAAAAAACATTCCTCCATTTCTTTGTAAAATAATGGTGAATAGAGTCTACTTTAATTATGACTTTCATGAAATAATGTATGTTTTCAGGAACTTTATTTCACCATCAAGGATGCTCTACCCTTTTCAGTTCTACATTAATAAATTAATCCTGTTCTTTATTGGCCTCTACTGTTAACAGCATAAGCATCTGTAACCACATGTCCCCAGCAGGCAGTTCCCAGCTGCACAGATTATGTAGCGTTGTTTAAAAATATATATTGTAGTTGTGTTAAAGGTCACCAAACCACTGAGTCAGAAAGAATGAAATAGAAAAGAAGCCAGAATTGCTACTGAGTATTTTATTTGAGATTAAAATATGCAAATTGAAAGCAAACTCCTCACTATTCACTTTTGTAAGGACCTTGTTAACAGTAACTTCAGAAGAAGGCAATTTTTGTAAGGGTATTTTTTTCAATTCATTCTCTTGCAAACACATAAGCAACCTCTGTCAAAGGATTTTAATCTGTCAACAGGACTGCATGAGTCTTCAACTGGTTTTTATAATAGTAGCTTTTCACTGGAATATTTTGATTGACAGATTCTTATATTTAACATCTGCCTTTTTTGGGAGCAGTTTAATGTTAAGACAAAAAATACACTTGGGTTTTCAAAGCAGGTGGAAAAACTCACAGATCTGATTAAAGGAGAACTGCTTCTAATCCTGTTTTGCACCGTGCCTTAAAGCATCTTATATAAAGCAGAAAACACATCTAGTCACTTCTGAAACATTTAAAGAATAAAAAATAAGGGGAGGGGGAAGAATACATGCAACTTACCATTAAAGTTTACTGCCCGGATATAGCTAAGTAGTTCTTTACCATCAATTGTGCTCATCCTTGGGCATAGACCAATATATCCAGGACACAGATCTTTATGCATGTTGTGCAGTGCATAGGCCATGGAATATACTGCATCAATTACAAACTGAACTTTTCCTTCTTGCTCATAGGCTGAATCTCTTGCAATTCTTTCTAAGCCTAAGGAATAAAGAGAAAGAGTCAGTTTACTTCTATATGTGCGTGTGTATACATGCATGAGTATTTGCATGCAAAAACTCACAGTAGAACATAAATAATGACAGTCAGATTGATAGGTGAAGTTAGGACTCATATATCCGTCACCTAGATAAAGAAGACAAGGAAAAATGGGGCCATCTGGTTTTGCCTCTAATTGTTGTGTGCTGTGCCAGGTATTAAGACAGAATGTTGAGCTCTGGCCTGGGAAAGAGGACAGAACATTCCATTACTAGAAAAAGAAATACAGATATATGTATTTCTACAATCCAGCAGAAAAACTCTCTTTCCACCTTATTGACTTTCGTTCAACAGCTGTTTATTGTTATTTATAGGACACTTCTACAGCACCCTGCCTTTCTTTTTTAGATAAATTTAAGGCTACCTTGATTTTTATCAGTGTCTATTGTTTGATAAACATTTAAACATGTCAGGGAAAAAAGCTGAATCCTTGCCAAGTGATGTGGCCATCTGTCTCCATATTGAAAAATGCTTATTCTGAGACTTTTTTCCAGTATTTACTAGTGAATTATACTTCACATTGAGAACTGTGTACCGTCTGCTGTTTCCTACAGGGACATTTTTCATTCAGGGAGAATACAGAGCAAATCAATACATTATGAAATTTTGATTCTGTGGGAATTGCCCACATAAATCATCTATGTCTAAATCCAGAGCACCTTTTACATTCATAGGTGACAGGACTAAGTGGAAAAATTAAAAAAATATAGTTTAGGAAAATTGTATTTTAAGTAGACAACCAACATGAAATCCCATGTCCTATGTAGGAATTTGGCCACCTATTTCAAAGGCTTACAATCTTCATTTACAAGTGGAAAGAGGGCTCTGCAGATATCACTGTGAAATCCACCCTGCTGAAATCTACAGTTAAGTTTTCATTAACTCAGTGAACACAAGCTTAAATACCTAGGTTATCTACCAGATTAACAACTTGTTCAGTTTGAAAATAACCCATTCACATTATGTAAGACTATTTATAAATAAATAAAAAAATTACACATTTTCTTTTTATTTTAACATTCTATATCTTTTTTTTTTTATATTTCTTTTTTATCTCTACAGGTGGGCTTTTATCAGTTCAAGACACCAATTTTGTTGTATCTAAATTTTTTAAAGTGCATGCCTGAAAGCACACTGCATGCAAGATATTTCTTTAGAAAGCCCATATGACATGTAAAAAAAAAAACAGTCTACTCAGAAGCCTTTCTTCTTTTCGCCTGCTGCATTTCAATGCCACCGTCTGACATTACAATGGTAACATATGAACAAATTTGTAATCTGACAAATCAGCATTGTTTTGTGCTTTTAACATTCCTGAGCACTGGGAGCGATAGATAGCCTTGAAAAATCATCAAGTGCTTTTATTTCTCCTCAGGGATTAGCTAAAAAAAAAAAAAATTACTACCTCTTGAAAAGGTGCTAACCACTTGGAGAGGAAAGCATATAATTAATTTTTGTGATTTGTTACAAGTAACTTCACAGACACTTTTCAAAATATGCTATCTAATGATCATCAAATAAATAGTAAATAGTGTGACTCTACTGCAAATAAACAGAAAAACTTTTCCTTGCACATGCTGAAAATGACACAAGTATTTGCAATGCATTTCCCAGACATAAAAGAAGATATGAAGGATGGAAGAGATGTGACTTCACTAGATTGCAACTTCATTAACTTATTTCAGTTGAGAACTAGCTTCCAACAGTAAGTGATGGGTAGAGCTCAGGATCCCTACCTTAATTGTCCCGGCCTTGTTAAGGACTGATTGACAAAACTGAAGGAAAGGGTTTACAGAACTTCTTCAGGCAAACAGCAGTCAATAACCTGTATGTGCTCCCATGAGCTTCCTCATCCTCTAAACAGGTTGGTCAGGACAGGAGGAGTTTGAAGGACTTCTATTCATTTTAATTGCTAAGCCAAATGTAATTCCCCTCACGCATCAAATGGATGGATGTGTATGTTGAAGAGTGAAGGGTTGGTGAAAGACAGAAGGGAATAATTTTCTATAATAAATGCTAAGTCATAAAACACTAGATGCTGCGAACACTAATGCAAGTACATTGCACTAAGTGGTACAGATTTTTAAAGGGAAAAAAATCAGTATTACACTCCCCTATGCTATACTGTAGTTTAAACACACACAGAAATTGCATAAATTCTTCTACAGCAGAACATTTTACTTTTACTCTTCACAGATATGTGATCATAAACTACTTTACTTTAGAATGTAAATTACAGACAAATAAAAAAAAAAATTATTAGGACTGAGTGTGTTTCTTACACACAAACCGGTGATGAATATGACAGAATTATCAGTTTTAAACTTGTCAAACCCAGAAGGCAATAGACCAGAAAAGTCTCTGTGCTTTGCATAATTAAAAAAACTAATAAATTGGATTATATGCTCTTTCTTTGAGGTTTCTCTTCATCTTCTCTTTCTAGAATTCTCAAAAAATCTAAAACAATGATTTATAAAGATGACGAGAACTCATCAAAATAAAATACTTTACACTGCCCTAAATAAATTTCAATATATAGTAGTAAAATGATGCATATTGTCTAAGCCATAAATATGGTCAGCTACTACAGAGATAATATTACATATTTGGAAGACATGATTATAATTTTTCTGCAGACTTGTATATTGGGTAATAACAGTTTCATTTGTAGTTTGACTCTGAGCTCTACAAGGATTGTTTCTACACACATTGATGATTTGAATGCGTATAACAATTTGTATCTTGTAATAGAAAAATTTAATTCTTTTGTAATGATGATTTCAATTTCTCATCATACAGTTTTTTCTCTGGAAAAATTGCTTAGGCTGTGTCTTTATCAAAAAGAACAAGAAGATGTTCCCAGCTCTTGAACCTGGGCACTTGATACCACCGTGGTCTGACAGTGTGACAAGAACTGGGCTCACACTGTCCCTCCCTATTCCAATCTCCAAACAAAGGAAACCTAGGGAAATGTGCCATGGTGCTTTCCAGCAGGTCTTCCAGTCCAGCTGTTGAGAAGTGCAAGCTCGTAGGGAATCTCAGCAAGATGCCAAGACTTTTCCCTATCAATGGAGAAAATACATAGATACATCTAATAATGTCACCATCTTGGGCTAGGGAACAGCTAGGAGAGGTGTTTCACTAGCCCAGGATAAGTGTCAACTGTTCCTGGCTCATTCCATTTGAAATCTCTTTCAGGAACCCTAGAGTGAGGAGAGGAATGATCCTATGAGCCTGTACATTCGGAAGAGTTGCTACAGCTACTCTTGCACTTCCCGAGCAAGAGTGAGAAGCTGGACTGCTGCAGGAAGTATTGCCTCCATATCTTCTAATCATTTCCCTCTTTGTTCCTATAGAAAAAGATCTGCATCCTGCTCAGGGTGGTGGAACTCACAACAGGGAAAGATAAGAAGCACAACAGTAGTAAGGTAAAATGTGGATCAGGTGGATAAGGGGGTGTGGCTGGGGTTACCAGTCTGGTGACATTGTCAGTTACCCAGGTATGAACTGGGAATCAACAGATTTCAGGGAATGTAATCAAGAGAAATTAGGCCTTTACAACAGTAAATTAAAATGTATCTTAATTTAAAACTTAATAAGAGCACACAGTAAGTAAACAAAGATTAATGTAGTATAGCTAAGATAATTAATTCATACATGGATGATGATATCACCTGTGGGATGCAAACAACTATCTTAAACAATCAAAGCTCAAGTTTCTGATCTCACCAACAGGGGCTGTTGAGCTCTGCAATAAATGTTGTGTAATTTCTCTAAGTTATAGAAACCATCTTCCTAATGATGATCTTAAGCATATGTAGAAGAAACTTCTGCACACATAGAAGTCCCTGGCAATAGAAAAACTTCAGAACAGAGTTCCTAGTTATTATTCTTTTAAGAATACAAAAACTTCTAAATAAGCCAAATTGATATACCGGCTTTGTGTCTTGTGCAATAGGGAAAAAATATTTCTTTATTTATTTAACTACCCTGTTTCTGGAAATTAGTGGTTCACCTAACATTTCTGAGCAATCCCATTCTTTCATATTTTTGAAAGCAATTTAAATGAAAGTGCAGCCTATATTATTTCTCACGGGTATTTCTATAGTTTCAAGAATCCATCCCATACATCTAGTTAAAATTTTAATTTATGCTACTTGAAGACCAAAGGTTGAAGTCAAGGACCTTGTATACAACAGCTAGTTAGAGCTTCGGACTGGAACAATGTTGTGAGGGTCTGAGAAAGGTTTTTGGCACACCTTTGGGACACAGAAGTGGAGCTCCATAGATTAGAGAAATAGAGTTGTCTGGTATGAGCATGAGTGTGCCTGGGTACAGCATCCTAATTTTGACAGAATAATCATCATGAGCTCAGGTTCCAGGCTTAGAAAAATAGTGCAGTCAGAGACAAGAAAGTAGAAACACATAACTAGAGCTCCATGTAGGAAACAGGATGCATCAAGATGTTATCTTGATTTCCTAATCTCTAGTCAATGCCTTTTCTTTTTTCTTATCAATCTCCTTTACTATATTTTTTTATTTGTTTTGTCTAGGATTGATTGGAATACAACTGGCCAGCTCACTTTTCACCTTCAGTTCAGATATTGACTCAGTATAAGCCTCCTTCCATTGTTTTGCGGTACTAATTCTCAAAACTTGTAAAAATCAAAGTTAAAAACACAGAAAACTTCCAACTTCCCTCTTTGAAAACTCGAAGGGGGAAATTATAGAAATATTCTTTTCTTAAACTCTCACCTTTAGTTGTTGCAATGTGTCCTAGTCGTTCACTTAGTTTAAATGTAAATTACTTTTTCAGCATCATCTGGTAGGTTCACATCTTTATTTTCGCTAGCCTAAAAATATTAATGTAATGCTTGTGATTTTTCTGTGCGATTATTTATACATCTAGCAATGGGCTGATATTCTATGTCTGCTTGAAAAAC